TTTAGTCAGTGGTTGCAAAGTATTGCAATGTTTATAGCAATCGCAACAGAAACTGAGCAAAGTAAACCCGAAATAACGCACAATGCAAAGCGAGATAAAGTTTACAAGCCAACGTACACAATTACCACCGATGATAAAAAGCCGCAGTGTTTTTTATGCGACGAACAACACGATGTTTGCCAATGCTCAAAATTTCGCCGCAGCCTCGTCGGTGAACGATGGAAAATTGCCAAAACAAAACGCCTTTGTTTTTGTTGCCTTCGTGATGGCCACAATGTAACAAGCTGCAATATTCGCCGTGAATGTGGAATTAATTTTTGCAAAAGATACCACCATCGATTGTTGCATGAAGAATGTAAACAAAAGGCTGCTATTGACAAAAACAGCAGCACAGAGAAAACGTCAAATACGGTGAATGAACAAATGAACTCGTCGAAAAAGTGGTCGAATCCAAAAGAAACGACAGCGAATGTTGCCACTATTTTCGAAAAAGAACCAAATAAGAAAACATTATTTAAATTCTTGCCAGTGATAATAAAAGGTCCGAAGGGATGCCGTAAGATTATGGCATTCATAGACGACCGCTCAAAAATTTCTCTTATTGAAGAACAGATTGCTAAATCAGTTGGGTTAAAAGGGCCATCTGATTTGTTGTCACTCCGATGGATAGGTGGTAGAACAACAAGGGAAGCGTCTCAACGCTTAAATGTAGAGATTTCAAGTGCAAATGTTAATGCACATACATTCGAAATGAGAAATGTTAGAACAACAAAAAAACTTGAGTTACCGCCACAAACATTAGATTTGGAAAATTTTAAAAAGAAATATGCCGATTTAAATGAATTACCGATTGAAGATTATTTTGATGTTGTGCCGCAAATGTTAATAGGCATTCCGCATATACAGCTTGTGCGTCCAATAGACATCATTATTTTAAATGAACACTTCGCGGTTCATAAAGCAAAATTAGGTTACATGCTTTTTGGTTCGAACGAAGATAGTTCCGAAGCATTTGTTTGCCGTATTGATTGCGAGCAAGATAAGATAAATGAAATTCAACAACAAATGCATGAGTATTTTACCATTGAAGATTTTGGTGTGAAGTCGCTAAAGCCTGTTGCTTCGGAAGCTGACAAGCGAGCCGAGCGGATTCTCTTAGAAACGACCAAGCGATGTGGCAACCAGTATGAAACCGGTCTCCTGTGGAAAGAGGATCGTATTGAATTTCAGGAAAGCTACTCTATGGCCTTGAGTCGTTTGCATATGATCGAGAAAAAGATGAAAAAAGATAATTAATTCGCTGCATTGTATGAAAATATAATTGAAAGCTACGTTACGAAATCGTATGCAAAAAAATTGTCAGCTGAAGAAGCTGCTATAGTGAAGCCCCATACATGGTACTTGCCACATTTTGCTGTATGCAACGTTCATAAGGGAAACAAGAGGCGTTTAGTGTTTGATGCTGCTGCATCGATAAACGGTGTGTCATTTAATTCGAGATTGATGAAAGGCCCGAGCGCCTATCAGCCACAGCCTCTTGCAGCAATTCTATTTAAGTTCCGCC